ACTACTTCCCCTCCCAAAATCCACAATTTGGGCCGTCTGACTACATATTGAAATAGCCCTGGGCCCGAGACAGCCTTAGGGCTAAGTAGAGGCTGGCCGGCCCATACGACACTGGGCCTCTTACTCTTGCAATTTCAATGAATAAAAACATGGTTGACAATGCCGTGCTCTGCCCTTTGAACTTTTAATTTGGTTTTAAACTGGTTCATATTCTCATTTAGTTTACGGTTTGATGGTATTCCTCTATTTACAAGTGAGTTTTAGGTTCGATTCTCGTCAAAGCCAAAGTTGAACTACATTGCTAGTCCATTGTGAGGTTTAATACTAGTTTGCTACTGAGGTGCTTTTATAAAAAGTAGGTATAAAAAAATGCTAAACTCAAAAAAGTGTTTGGTAAACACTTTAAAACAGCTTATTTTCACAGTTTTGGATGAAAAAAAGCTAAAAACATGAAGCAGCAAAAATGAGCTTATTCTCACAACACATTAAAAGCAGTTTTTTTTCAAAGCAAAGCAATACCAAATCAGTCCTTAGCCCACTCCACTACCTTAATGTATATAATATCATATGTTAAAATAATAATAATAATAAAACCTCTTTCATATGTCCAATTCGTGAGGGCCAACCAAGTGAATACCTCTGTGAATTTTCTCCGCCCCTAAAATGGTGGACTGCTGTGTCAAATCCACCAACTGGTCCCTTTTCAAAAATAAAAAATAAATGATAGAAAAAACCAAGTGAACACAAAATGCCGCAAGGCCCTTTTTTTTTTTTTTTTTTTTTTTTTTTGCGTTCAAATGCCGCAAGGCCAATTGGTTACGTGCTTTTGTCAAGGTTAATTGGAAAAAAAAAACCTTCCTACCAAGGTAATCGCAATATTATGTCACAAGAGGTGCAAAAGTCTTGAGCAGAGTGGATCCATTTTTCATAATGGTTACAAATCATTAATTCCACGACAACAATTCACAAATAAATATATACACCGGAACCAGCTTTGTAGAGTTTATTCTTCAACCAACCAAGCACATCAAGCATATAGCTCAATCAATCCTTCACAAGAAGAAGTGCATATTTCCTTGGCTCTTTGGCACCCCGTTACCGACAACTAATGGATCAATGACTTTTTTCCACCCATTCAGATCTAGAGTGGATCCAGAACCAGGCAGTACAAATCCATTGACAAAGAAAGTAGGCGTTCCATACACCCCTCTCGAAGTGCTATACTGCAGGATGAAAGACATTCGACATGAAAAAAAAAAGATTATACGAGTAATTTGAAGCACATGTGTAACAAAGAAATGATATACTACGGTACCTTGAATGAAACCCTTGTTTTGAGGTCCGTTTTCCGGTCATTGAAGCCGGATTCAAGGGCGCTATGATAGGAGTTCCCAATCACTTGTGTGGCAGAGTTCACTATATCATTTACAACAGCAGCCCGGGAAATGTTGCGAGTTTGAGCATTGTAATACCTCTCCTGTTTAATTTTTTGAAACAAGTTCAGATCAAAAGAAACTTCAACGCCAACAACACATAGATATCTCGGCTAATAAACTACCAGGCAGCAACCAACTCCTTGTATAAAAAAGAAGGAAAATAATAGGTTTCATCTGAGAAATATGAGCCCGAAATCCAGCGAATTCGCCTAGCAGCTGAGTAATGGATCGAATAAGTGAATTCCCGAGAGCAATTCAAGAAATTTAATCTATATAATGCAGATTGCTGACAGACCAGTAGTATCAAATGAAAAAGTAAGTAGAGCATCAGCATCAGCATCAGCACCCAAAAAAGATATGCAACAAATAAAAGCTAGTGAAGTGATCTTAACCTGATTCTTGAAGAACCAATCCAACAACGGGAACGTGGCAGATTTTTTCAGCTGATTTACGATGTGCAGAGCCCGAGAACTAACGAAAGCATTGTCGTGGTAACTGCAGTTTCAGAAACAATATTTTTTTGAGTAATTTCATACTTACCAGTCAGGGTAAAGGTCGCCTCAAAGTCTGAATTTTGCAAAATTAAGCCTTGTTTATTTGTCAGTTTAATTTTCTTTAATTTAATCACTTTGATTGTTCCTCATCCATAATCTTCTGACTTCAAATTCATAACATGCAATCGATCTCTCAAATAGTACAGTACTTCAACTCCTACTGATCCAATTTCTGAGGAAAATATAGGCAGAGATGGAGGAATCTTTTTACTTACGGTAAGGGTAACAGGTGAATTACCACCGAGACGCGAGGGGCGTAGTACTCGACGGCTTGTTGGAGGGGCGGCCAGGAGTCCCTGCTGTCTGGGCAGATCGGGTCGAAGAAGGCCTCGATCAGGATCGAATCCGAGTCAACTCGGCGATGTCCGTACAAAAACCCATCGTATTTCGAAGGTGGCAAGCTCTGCGCGCATCCGTTCAAAACTAGAACGAACAACAACGTTAAAGCTGTTTCGAGTTTAAGGATTCTGTGCTTTGCTTCCGCCATTTTTTTTTTTCTCCTTCGCCTCTCTCTCCTTTTCTTCGAGTGGACTTTATAAGGTAAATCACCTGAACCGCACCGAGACAAGACTACATATAGCCGCCTGTAGCAAATGTATTTTCCATGGAATCTGAAAAAATATTTATAGTAAATTAATATTTAAAACCAACTTTAGCCACTTCGTGCTACGGTCTGATAGTATTACTCTTCATTTAATCATTTAGAAGTGAGAGATCTTAAGTTTGAATTTCAGGAACGACGAATTCAATACCAAATTAGGTTGTCTATTGTGTGGCTTAGTAAAACTCCCCCTCCCATGAAAATATTGATGTACTCAAAAACAAAAACAAAACAAAAAAAAACACACCAAATTTGTATCTTCCCCGGCCTTCTGCTAAATTGGTTGGTAAAACATCCCAATTGAATTGGTAAAATTTGGGCTCCTACCAAATCAGACAGCGTAATTGTCTACACGAATAATGTCAAGGAAATATATTAGACGGCCCAAGTGTTTACACGCTCAATCATTTTTTTGGAGAAGTTATTTGCCCCACTCCCTTCTATTTTTCCCAACGTTTGTTTATTTCTGACATTTAGTTAATAAATTAAAATAGCAACATGAGGCACAAATAAAGAAGAGTGAGCATATGAATCATATGCTGAAATCATTTTTCTCCGTTCAAAAATGTGATCCTGTAACTATAATCTTTAGGAAGGAGAAATCAAACTAGAGTTCAAAAAACGGCCATACTTCTTACTAACCGAACCAAAATTTTAGTTGAACGATCATATTAGAATTGTCAATCAAAAAAAAAAAGAAACCTATAATAATTTGCAATTATAGGGTTATCATTGTGAGGAGTTATGTGGCATGGTGGACAACTAGAGGTAAGTTGCAGGGCATCAAATTCAGGAATGTTTGATCGTGTACACCAATTATTTATGATTCGAGCTAAAGAATTTGGTCCATATTTCATGGGTCTATCTCTCCTCAATCCCCCAACTGGCAAACAACAGAATAAGGTTTCTAATTCCTTGTGGGCCTTTTTAGTAAATTGCGGAGTGCGCCAAGGCCGACGAGGGCCCACGCTGACTTAAAAGAGTTACCAAGAGAAACATATTCTTTTCTTAGGGACATACCGGAAAATTGAGTTTGATTTTTTTTCTTTTTAAGAGAAGGATGATATTCATCGATGATCTAGGATCATTCGTAAAAGGGTGTTTTATTGAGATCTCAATAAAATTTGTCAGAGATTTTCAACTCGGACGAAACGAAAGAGCATTCCACATCATAATATAAAGTTTAAACATTATCTAGATAGAGGTCTGAAATAATATTTGGAGGTTTTTGAAACCACACACAGTTTTTGTGATGTCAATAAACAAAGCGCGCCAATTGATGTGTCGCTGCATTCGCTACTCTATCAACATAATGCCCTTAAAGAAGTTTTTCCTGGACAGCCAATTATCACCCAGTCCCTTAGTTTTGAAACCATCACCAACTTGCCAGCGACTCCATTATAGAATCACACACCTCGCCTCTCCAATACTACGCTGGAATATTTTTGTTTACCATCCTCAAGTGACGGTGGTGTCACCACCTTAATTATAAATGTTGGATAAGTTTAAATTTCGAGATTTGTATAGTGAATAACTAGCAACAAATATATCTTGATCTATGTCTCTTTTCGGCCACATATTAGGATCTCAACCTCGATAATAAGAGAGAGGATCATCGCCATATCCTCTTTGTGAGGATCTCGATGATCCTCCAATCACATTCGTGCATCGTGCGTCAGTTTTCGTCAGGTACTGTTTATATTCAATTTTAAATAAAAAATTTACAATGATTTCTAAATACACAATGTACGATAAACGAATGTAATTTGAAATCTTAACAAAAAGGATCCGACGAGAATCATCACTCTGTTAATAAAAAGAGGAAACTACAATTTCCAAATTGAAGGAAATTGCCCACAAGTTGTGGGCCACAATGCATCAACACCATCAGCCACGACGACACCACACCTCACAATTTCTTTCTCCCTCGAGACCCGTCACCCACCACGGCACCATCACTCTCTCTGCCGCACCCAAGAAGTTGGGATATGTGCGAAGTCGATTTCAGACCCAAAATTTGCTCTTAATCTTGGACTGCCGACGGTGACTGAATGCGATTAGTGGAAGGGGTTGTGGTTGGGCTTGTGGGTGGGAGGAGGAGAGAGACTGTAAAGTTTAGTGTTGTTGTGTTGGAGAACTAATTTGAAAAGAATAAATCAACAAAGAAAATATTAATTTATTAACTGATGTGACATGTACAAATTAGTTACCGCATGAGATGACATGATTTGACGGTTCAAATTAGTTGTCTCCCGCATTATTCAATCAACAATAGCTGTACCAAGATATTGCGCTTTTACTTGCGGAATAAGAAACGCGTGAACAGAGGGGGAAAAACCTGTATACGAAATGAATAATCTCCTTCCAAATATAAACCGCTGCGGACCAAATAACCGACCCACGTCAACATTGCCTAGTCACACTGTAAACCACCCAGCCAGGCACCACCTCACTTTCCTAGTTTCCATCTCCCCAAGCCATGCTATTTATTTCTCATTTTTCCATAACTTATTGTTTCGTCTTTCAAGAAAAACCCTACTTTCCGCTACGTTTTGCTGCACACAACAACATCACTCCTCACTTGACCAACTTCTCCACCAGCCACCCTAAAAAAACCCTAGGTCTGCTATAGAACTCAAATTTTCTGGTCCACTGTCTCGAAATGCTGGTTTCGGTGTTTTTGGCGATCTTTGTGCCGTGCGTGGGGATGAGCGTGGTGTTCGTAGTGTACGTCTGTCTGTTATGGTACGCTACGAACAACCAAGCCGCCAACGTTGGGCTACCTGTCAAGCAGATTTCCGAGAATGGATTGTCGGCGTCAGAACTCGACAAGCTGCCTAAAATTACGGGGAAAGAGGTGATGGCGGAGAGGAGGGAGTGCGCGGTGTGTCTGGACGATATCGAGGGAGAGCAACCGGCGCGGGTGGTTCCCGGTTGTAACCACGCCTTCCATCTGCTGTGCGCCGATACCTGGCTTTCGAAACACTCGTTTTGTCCGGTTTGTCGGGCCAAACTCCACCCGGTTGTTCAGTCTCTCGATTCGTCTGAAAATCAGTGCTGATTAAGAAACAAACGAAAATATTGCAGAGAAAAAGCAAAAGCTAGCTGTGCTTTTGTTTCCACCGTGGGTTGGTGATTAGCTGTCCATTAAGACTGATTAGCATTCGAATCCATTGGCATTCATTCATGGTACCTATCACTTTTGATTCGAAACATCAACCATTTTTGCTACTGTATTTTCAAAAAATTTGATATTAGCAATTAGTTTATTATTGTTATTGTTTCGGGTCGAAATTATTATTTTCTGAGTTGTATTGATATCGGTGCAATCTCCATGTATGATCAAATATTTCTTGCAAGCAGCACGAGCAGTAATTTGAACTCTACAGAAGGTAACTGGAACTTAGGGCCTCGTTTGGTGGGCTAGATGTGATAGGTTGTGATCAATTAAATGTTACTCGAGTCTATTTTATTTGTTGTGTCAAAATATAAAATAAACATGACTGGAAACAATTGGTTATGAATTCACAATAAACTATAGTTATAATAAATAAAAAAAGATATTTGTCTGTTCTAATCAATGTAACTTCGTTCAATTCTATATTTCTGACGATGCTGGTGAAGTTTTAAGTTACCAACATTTAAGAAAGCGTGAACGCTTGGAAAAGCATAAATTGTGAATATGGTTTAAATGGTAGGGAGCACAAGCAGGTCGGGTCACCTGGGTCGCATGATTGAGCTCCCCAGTAAAGTTTAGCTGACTAGTGGTGGACATCCTGGCAGAGGGGCGTTGGGCCACGTCGTGGCGAAATTTGACTTTGCCTTGGAATGAAAGGGGAGCAAGTGGGCCTCCTGGTTGGTGGATTGAGATTGACCATCTGAAACCCCGAAACCGAAGTGCACGGGCTCATGAAAAGCTTGCAGTTTTAGTTTTAGGAGCCCACGGGTTTCGTATTTTATGTGCGTGTGAAATTTTAATTCCTTATTTCGAAAGAAAAAAACTATTGAACTTGATTCAGGGTTCCCACCTGAAAGTTGAAATTCCTTCCAAAAAATGGTTTAGATTCATTGATTGCAAACCTAATCAGTGTATCGCCAGCTGTAACAATAAATCACAGGATTGCCACGTCGCATGCCTTGTATTGCAAATGCCAAACAGAAAAGGAAAGGCGAGTAGACGGTAGAAATAATTTCTTACACAAATTTGCAACTATGAGATATAGATGGGAAATGATAAAGAGAACTCTTTTAAAAATGAAAATTTTCATGAATTCTGCGTCAATTCCCGTATCAATATTATAAAATATTGTGTTGTCAATTTCTGTATCAATATTATAAAATATTGTGTTCTCAATTTCTGTATCAATATTTTAAAATATTGTGTAAAAAAAAAATGAGGTAACAAAAATTTCCATTAACATTTCCCTAGATACAATGAAAGAAGGGGGGGGGGGGGATGGGGACTGTTAACCTCCGAAATCATTGGATTTACATATTAAAAAAAAATTGCGTAAGGCTATTTTGTTTTTCCAAATGAAAACTGTAGAAGTTTTATAGGAAAATTTTGCAAATGTGGTCATACCTACATTTATAATCGTTAAGGTGAATATGTTTGTTGTAGTGCATAGTATCAATGCTCCTACCTGCATCTTAAATTAGATTTAAATAGATAGGGCTCATATAAAGTAGGGGTGGGTTCGAAAACAAAAAATAATGGAGTTGAACACCAAATCGAAAAAAAAAAAAAACCGAACTAAACTCAAACCAAATCGTTAAAACCGAAATGAAGAAAAAAAAAAGAAAAAATAAACTGAAAGAAAATCCGAACTAAAAAAATTGAAGTAATTTCTGTTTGATTTATAGTTTGGCAAAAAACCGAACACACCCCAAAGTAAAGGAAAATTCGAAATAGGGGTCGGTATTTCAAGAATTTCGATCCAAACCTTAAATTGATATGGGCTTGGGTTTACCTTGAAAGTGACTGATTGAAAATTCTAGTTTAGCCCAAGCTTTCATTTTAGACTGTACAACCTAAAGCCTAACGAAACATGAGAGTCAGCACGTGAAACACAACCAAGTCGGCACGTGAAACACAAAGTATGATGTGCACCAAAATTCTAACAATCGATTGCGCGGAGTGACTGTTTTGTTCACACTTCACATAGTCAAAATTTTTGCCGTCTCATATTATTGTTATGATATTTTATTATAATGTTAACATGAAAATTAACATTAATTGTAAACTACCAAAAAGTACATATAAAGCTTCACTTTTGAGATTTTCTTTAACATTTCTCTGGTTATATATGAGTTTTTATTAATAAAAAATAAAATTAAAATACCCAATCAAAACCTACTATGTTTGTTGAAACGAAGATTAAGAAGATAGAGGCAGATTCTCTGCCCTCTCATTTTCTGTGCCATTCCCTGCCCTCTTGTTTTGTATGATCACGGTTAAGCCACTTCATATTTTATATTATTTTTTATAGATATAAGAAGATAAAAATAAATAATAATATAAAATATTGACGTGATTTAACTGTAATCATACAAATAAAAAAACACGAAAAATGTGAGTGCAGAAAATCTGCATCCTAAGAAGATTACCAAAATTTATGCACTTGTCAGCAGCTAGCGACGACCCATGTGATTCAACCTTGGGTCGTGGGCCCCCACGCGAACAACTTTGCCAAAGTCTTTGGAAAAGGGTTCCTCTTCGGATGTTTTCTCTTAAATTCATCAAATCATCTAATTTGAATCTTTAAAATTTGATCCAACAGTTAAAGTGATTATAATTTTTTTAAAAATTACTGTTTATAATTGTTAAATTAAATTTAGAAGGTCTGAATTTATTGATGGAAAAGATTCGAAGAAGATACATTTCCAAGTCTTTAAATTTGAAAAACAGAAAAAAGAACAGGCGTGGGGCCGAAACACTCAACGTGTTTCTTCTATGATCACACGATCCCTGCAATCGCTGGCTTGCAGTTCACGAACTCTGATCTAGTTTAAGATTAGACCATCACTTTTGGCTTTCTCTTCCTCGGACGGTACTACGACAGGTGGCCTCAATGTCCGGAAGATAGCTTCCGGTGGGACCCGGTTCGATGGTTTCTATAACATAACTAATTGACCCAAGAAGGAGAATTAATTACATAAACCGCAAAATTTTTAGTTGCAACATGGTGTGTATTTTGAGGTTATTTGTTTGCTCACGAGATCTGTTAGGTTAGAAGAGGGACAGACGTGAGGAGGGAGAGCTAATCACGACAAAACTTTAACCGAGTTGTACTTAAGTTTCTCCCCTACATGTGACCCCAAAAAAAAAAAAGTTTTCTCCCGTACACGAGATGAGTTATCTCAAGAAAAAATCAAATCAATAATATGATATGTATGCTTTTGTGGTATTTCAAATCAGTAACGTAATATTATTCGTATTTTAACTTTATTAATATGTTAGTATTTTGTGTTTATATCGGTGTACGTGAGGGCTTGTTCATTAAGGTTTGCAAGTTTTTTGTTTTGTAGATATAAAAACGGGGTGAAAAATGCACCCGACATATTATTTTATGAAAATAAACTCAGAAAACGAAAAGTGCAGAAAATAATATTTAGCCTAAGTTCTGTAGAACATCAAATTGATGTTTCCTCTGTGTATCAAGAACAATTTTTAAATAATAGAAAATTAAAGATACATTAAAAAAAAGTTAAGTTAAGATTAACATCAAATAAAATCATATTTACCATCACCGTCTTCGCCATTGCCACCATCACAATCACCACATTATCCACAATTTCACCATTATCACCACCTCCTCTCACCATCACCCTCACCACCACAGCCACCACCATCTCTAACATATCATCATTGCCACAACCCACACTACCGCCACCATTTCAGCATGACCACCACCACCTGGACTTCCGCCATAGTCACCTTGGCCATCACCACCTCAACCGTCTCACTATTGTAGCTACCACCATTGCCACCACCCCCATCACCACATTCTCCACCTTGTTACCCTCACCATGGACACTACCACCTCCACCATATCCGCCACCATCATCCCTATCGCTCAACCTCCATTTTCACAACCATCATATGCCACCATTGCAGCAGTTGCCACTGCTACTACCACCACCACCACTTCTCCACCAATTGCCTCTATCCTGCTATTTTAACTACTCATATTGTCACCACTATTATCACGCTTCAACCACTATTGCTACCAACATCACTCTCGTCTCAATCACCATCCCTACCTCATCGCCAATTGCTTCCAAACACAAATTTATATTATTATTTGATATTTGGTACTATTCGCATTTTCAATGTTTTCATTCAAAAAAATTGTTCTTGAATTAAAATACAAGACGTGTTTTCAAATCTGCAAAAATTCCGTTATCATTTTTGTTTTACAAAACAGTTTTAAATTATTTTATAAAACGTTACTAGATGGACCCTAACTAGTAAATTAGCATAGAAAACTAAAATAACCAACAACCGTTGATAAACTTGCTTTAGTTGAAAGAGAAAATAATGCAGCTCGTACGTACGAACATGAATGAAGGGGACAACATTTTCCAGGAAAAAGCATGAATATTAAAGTTCATTAAAGGGGGAATGGAAAGAAGTAGCGACGGACACGTGTCTCTCTGTTGGTTTGGCTTTCAGAGAAGGATTATCTTTCTTTCTAATCTCTTCTCCTATTTGAACGATCACAGTTAAACCATGTTAACATCTTATATTAATTTTTTTATAAAAATAATAAGATAAAAAATAATATGTGAAAGGAGTAGAGAAAAAAGATGAGAATAGAAAGAAAGAAAATCCTACACCTCATCTTTCACAAATTAAAAAACCATCCATTCAAAAGTCCACACGGACCTGGCCTCCTTTGCCTTGTTGCCAAATGCCAAGTGCCAATCCCTTACCCGTTGCCGTGATTATGTAGAATTCCTAGCATAATATCCACTAGACTTGTGTCACCTTCTGGTTGGCTAGGGTTGACCTTTCACAGTATCGACAGAATAAAAGTTGGATCTTTTGGGTGAATGATGCGGTGATTGGAGAAGCAGTTGTTTTGCATAAGCACTTGAGAAGTAGGAAATCAGAGTCTCTAGACTAGGGGTGGGGTTGGGTTGGGGGCAGATTTCATATGAATAAATGATGGGGGGTGTGGGGCTTAATTAGTGTTGGATGTAATGATGTGGTGGGAATGAGATTATTTGGAATGTAATATAAGGAGTTGGAGTGGAGGCTATTATTTTTGATTGAATTTTTGGACCCTCTACAGTATTCTCTTTCCCTTTTGTCTTCAATTAATATTTGTGTCTTGGCAGAGAAAGATATCGATATGAAGGAGGAGATGAAAGTGAAGATCAGTCATGGTTATGAAGCTGCAAGCAACGGTGGTGGGAGTGGGGGTGGGGGTGGGGGTGGTGCTGCCGCCGACACCGTCTCGAGCTCAAGAGTTTCATCGCTCCTGGCCTCCCAAGATCATGACTACCTTCTTACTCCGACTGGAAACCAGGTCTCTCTCTCTCTCTCTCTCTCTCTCTCTCTCTCAGAGTATATTAAGTTTTCTTTTCCTTTTAATATAAAAACATCTGACTGAAAACAGTTTTCTTTCATGGGATAAAAATCCAAAGATATAGGAACTTGAAACGAATATTTTTGTCGAAATTTTTATGCAGTCCGATTTAATAATTCTGAGATGGATCTGAGATATGTACTCCCTCTCAAAAACATAAAATATGACTAAAAAAACCAGCTGCTTATCTTCCCGTGAAATCCTTGAACATGTCTGAAGTATATATAATCTTAGATCTAATGGAGGTCCCTATGTTATTTTTTTCCCACGAAAGATCGATATAATTTTATCTAGAAAATAAAAGTATAGTATCAAAGTAGGAACACATAGTCACAGGCATTAATGGATTATGCTACTATATATAAGACTACACAGCAAGGATTGATGATCATCTACTCTATTTATGCTCAGAACAACATAGTAGAACCAAATCCCTAATAGAAAAATCTTCGTCCCCTAACACACCAAAACGATGATAGAACAACATACTCTTCTTTGATTCAAAGGAAGGGAGGCCTCGGTATTTATATGGCTACACGTACAAGTACGGAACTAGCTAGTTTAGAAGGAGAAAGATTATTTCCCCTCCTTTTCTCTCACTTCTTACCTCATTTTTTATTTGAACAGTTACGGTTAAGATACGTCAACATTTTCTTACAATTGTGTTGTTCTTTGAGGATATTTACAAGTCTCGTGAGGATTAGAAAATGGCAAGATTCAACAATATAAGAACGAGTTTTGAATGTTACAATTCTAAAGTTGTGTGCTTATTCTTATGATAAATTTTTTTTATTTTGTTTGAGTTCAATTTTAGATGTATTCTGAGTTTATGTGTTATGCATATAATAATAATACACGTACGCGTGCGAGGAGTTGTTTTTGGTTAACTATTTCATGCAAGAGTGCATAAATTACGTAAACCTTTTCTTACAATTCATGCTGAGGGAAACGAACGTGTACGTAAATGCATGCTATGCCGATGATCTATAGAACAAGTAAGAGGGAATTTTACAGTATTTGACTAATTTTATGAATTATTATGATTATTTATATGAGGACTTATACGAGGTTCTTGGTCGTCCACTCTCCTTTTTGATAGATCAAACATTTGAGTACAAGGAAATTCGTTTTAAATTAAAGAATTTAATTGTGAAGGCAAAAACATTGAAGCCTGATCAAAAAAGCAAATTGAGGAATTTCACCATAAAATCAAGTGATAAGGTAAAGGGTATCGAATATTTTATAAGTATTTGTACCGTTTGATCTTTCATTGATGTAGTACTTTATTTTGACATTCTCACACTTAGCTCAAAGACATTTTATGTGCTTAATTATCAGTACTTTTGTTAAGTAGTTTTATTAACAAAGAAGATTTGAACTCCTGATCTCAAACTTATTTATATCCATCACTCTTATCTACCCTCACCATTATAGTAACCTCAGTAATTTATTCTCTTCAATATTTTTTTTTTTTTAACAAAAGATATTTACACTAGGGAAATAGATGAATTTAGCTTTACAATAAACTAGTAATAGTATGGTTCAAATATATCTTTGATAAAAATTTAACTTAAAATTTCTTATTTATAAATGAAGAAAAATGTCATTAAATTAGAATACTAAATGACTATTATCCGAAGGTTAAAGAAACCTTTTTATTAGTGATGAATTTAACCAAACCAGAGCAGAAAGCCAGAAAATTTAACTGTGACGTTACTTGTCTCGAGATGAACATGGTAAGTTGGTGTCACGATCGAGATGGACCACCACCACACATTGTTAGTTGTCTATAGAGAACCACTCTAGAAGGGCATGTGGCACTCTAATGTCAACTTCGTCCCACAGAAACGTTATTGGTATTACACGCGGTCCATTGGCATCCATGCACCTGTATTCATTTTTGGTAAAACGTCGCCTTCAAGCTTTACTAGATTCGAGCCTCTAGGCTGAAATATCTGGGGAAACTGGCGAATCTTATCTCAATCCCCACTGTTAAAGTGATGATCTGTCGCCCTTGTCGGAATTATTCAGGCGGTCCATCCTTGCTCCAATTGATGCTTCTAGTTCTTTGGCAACGAGCAGTTTGGATAAGTATTTGGGGGTGGAATTATGGAAATAACAAAGAACTTGTCTTTTATATGAAAAGGTTTTAATCAATATTCTTATTCTTCCATGCAAGATCTAAAATATCAGTAGTTCAAAAACACGGAAATTTTGATGGAAATATCGGGATATTATTGATATCGATAAAAATTGAATAAAAAATACGAAAATTGTAAGCAAAACTTGGAAATTTTTATTGAAATTTTTTAGGATGTTTATTTAGTCAATTATCTATAAGTTTATCACAAAAAATTGGAAGGAAATGTATTGCATGATGGATTTAACTGATTTAAGTTGATTATATAGTGAGCTGACAAACATTGTGACTAGAAAATATGTAGTAATTAATTAAAGAAGTTTAGACACACCATAATCATTTATATATAATGAATTATTACAATATTTTACACTTTATACATTGCATAGTAAGATACATGAGTGACTTAGTACCACATAAAGTTCCTATCAAGGTCTAAAATATCGATGATACCGGAAATATCGGTAGTTCAAAAACACGAAAATTTCGATGAAAATATCGGGATAATATCAATATTTTAGACATTGCATGTAGTTTAGTATTTTAATGGATAGAGTATTTAGTTTTTATTCATGCGCTTTGAGTTTGAAATTCTTTTTTTTTTTATGGTAAATTTACAAATAAAAAGAAGTATAACCGTACTCTTTGGACTACTAATGCTCCGTTATGTACTTTATAGTTGATGACTTCATGAATTCCGGTTTATAAGGAAAGGGTTTGTAAATCAAAGAAAAGTTAATTATAATCGATCAACGGTGTTTAATTCAGTTTGTTGTTTGTTTTGTTTTTGTTTTAATATTGCAGGTAAAAGTTTCTGATCTTGAAGGGAAGATAATAGGCCTATACTTCTCAGCCAATTGGTACCCGCCATGCTGGAACTTCAACCAAGTCCTAGTTGGCATCTACGAGCAGCTGAAGAACAGTGGGACTAACTTCGAGATTGTGTACGTGTCATCCGACGAAGACTCTGACGCCTTCAACATCTACCATGCATGCATGCCGTGGCTGGCGATTCCTTTCTCTGACTTGGACACCAAGAAAGCCTTGAACCGTAAGTTTGACGTGGAAAGTATTCCCAGCTTGGTCATTTTGCAACCTAATGATAACAAGGACGAGGCTACGTTGCATGATGGAGTTGAAATTATCTATCGCTATGGGGTCGAAGCCTTTCCTTTCACAAAACAAAAGTTGGAAGAATTGCAAGATGAGGACAGAGCAAGGCATGAGAACCAAACTCTGACCAATTTACTAACAAATCATGATAGAGATTATCTTTTGGGTCACCCCACGCCTAAACAGGTAAAATTTTAGAATCTTGCTGACACTGTTATACAGTGTGTCGATATTAATCAATGTACCAATCTATTACGGGATATATTTTTTAGAATATGTCAGACGTGATGCACAGAAAATTCCTACACTATAACATAAACGCATACCTCTGTTTTGAATGCAGGTATCTGTTGCTTCATTAAGAGGCAAAACCATTGGACTCTACTTCTCAGCTCAATGGTGTCGTCCATGCGTTAATTTCACTCCCAAGTTGATCTCCATCTATGAAAAAATCAAGGAGAAAATGCTAGTAGATGATCACGACGGAGAAGACTTCGAGATAGTACTTGTGTCAAGTGATCGTGACCAAACATCGTTCGACTCCTACTTCAACACCATGCCATGGCTAGCGTTGCCTTTTGGGGATCCAAACATCAAAGAACTTGTCAAGCATTTTGACGTCAAAGGTATCCCTTGTTTGGTAATTTTAGGGCCTGATGGTAAAACTGTGACCCAGCAGGGTAGAAATCTTATAAATTTATACAAAGAAAATGCGTATCCCTTCACGGATGCCAAACTGGAGTTGCTGGAGAAGAAAATGGATGAAGAGGCTAAGAACCTCCCTCGATCGGTGTACCACGGTGGGCATCGCCACGAGCTGAATTTGGTGTCGGAGGGCAATGGAGGAGGACCCTTCATATGTTGTGATTGTGAAGAACAAGGATGTGGTTGGGCGTACCAGTGTCTTGAATGTGGATATGAGGTGCACCCTAAGTGCGTGACTGCTACCACACCCAATAGCAATAGCAATAGCAATAGGTGATTCATTTGAGCTTATTAATGTAACTAAACTTGTGCTGTATTATATAAGTTGTGGTCTCGTTTCTTGACGACGGTTTGGGGCTGACAATAATTAAATTCCCTTTTTAATCATTATGTTTAATGTTGTTCTTATTTGTCAAGTAATTTGGACTTCACCGTCAGTTATTATTATTAGCAGCTTATGGATCCTCAAGATTTACTGGCGATTATGTGGTGTAAGAGATTTATGAATCCATAATTATAAACAAAATTATTAGCAATACCCTCTAAATCGAGATCAAATCTTCTACATCCAAAATATGTGTGATCTCTCTATGGTCCTAATAAGTGTTTGATGCATATTAAATTTATGACAACAAAACTAAGAAAAGTTAAGATAATAAATACGTGTCAGTCACTTATTGAGGTCACAGAGAGACTGCACCTATTTGTGGTGCAGAAGATTTGGTATCCTCTAGACCACAGGTCGTGTTTCACATTACGTTGTTTCATCTTTCTATTTTGTAATGAGTAATGCTAGGTAGAATAAATTTGCAAATTAAATGATGTATCATATATAAGAAATCAACACATTAATCAACACTTAACTAATAATTCAATCATCAACATTCATGACATTTAGTCTACACATTTAGTTTCTCTAGCATTATTCTTTATAATTGGTCCACCTATACTCTTATTTTGTGCCATTATTCTCCGTGGCGTTAGTTCTACCAATTACTTGTAAGTTTCAATTCTCTTTTAAATTTTCCCTAACACAATTATCATAATTTCACGTATTTACTAATTTATTATGCACGTAAGATCTTCTTGACAAATATGCACCTTAATGCCACTCATGTGCATTAAACGTGAGAGGAGATAGAGGCATATTAAAAGTACAAAAGGGCTCAAAATTAAATTGAAAGTTCTAACTTCGGAGGACACCCTTACAGTTTTATTTGTTATTTTTTTTTCTTATTACAAACGATATTAATACGTTAAACTAAGCTGAAGAAAATGAACAGAATGCATTGAGTTGACGAAAAAGACTTTGTCTACCGTCAACTGACTAGACAACGAAACTGGAAAGGATCATGGGTCCTTTAGGACATCATCAGGGGCCCCATTTAGTATCGTCGTTGGGGCCTTGCCAATAACAACAAAAACGGACACCTGAAATGAAATGCGTAGCAGTAACGCTACAGCGCCGTCGTAAGAGAAACGTTGGCCATAACATCCTTCTCGTCTCTGTCTCTAATCGCCGTTGAAAAGCGTACGTGCTCAAAAAGTGAAGTGAAAGAAAGGAAGAAAGCAGAATTATATGCTCGGCAACATCCAAAGGGCAAAAGCAAAGCATAAAATAAAGCACACAGAAACATCACACACAAGCAAACATCTACTAAATATGCTCTCCTTTCATACATCTTAAAACCCCTCCAACCAAATACTCTCTCTCTCACCCTTAAACTCTCTCTCTCCCCTCTGTCTTCTCCTCTCTCTCTCTCTCTCTCTCTCTCTCTCTCTCTCTAGAAATGGGACTCTGTTTCACAAAATGTCAATCCCATGACATCCCTATATCTTCCTCAGACTCGCCACCTCATCGAACCCACCCAAAATCCAACAGAACCCACGACCCGTATAAGCCCGCCCCATCAAAACCAAACCCGTATTCGCCTGCTTATAGTTCCGGCACCTCTTTCGGCAGGACCCATTCATCGTTTCAGATTGGACCCATTCTCGGAAAACCCTACTTCAACGTAAATTCCCTTTATACCCTCGACAAGGAGCTGGGGCGGGGCCAGTTCGGGGTGACCTATCTCTGCACCGAGAAGACCACTGGAAAAAAGTACGCCTGCAAGTCGATATCGCGGCCGAAGCTGTCGACGACCAAGGACATCGAGGACGTGAGGAGGGAGATTATGATACAGCAGCACCTGACGGGGCAGCCCAACATCGCGGAGTTCAAGGGGGCCTATGAGGACAGGCAGAATCTGCATTTGGTCATGGAGTTGTGCTCTGGCGGCGAGCTTTTCGATCGGATTATTGCCAAAGGGAGCTACTCCGAGCGGGAGGCAACGAGGATTTTCAGGCAGATTGTGAATGTGGTGCATGTCTGTCATTTTATGGGGGTGATGCATCGGGATTTGAAGCCTGAGAATTTTTTGTTTGCGAGTAAGGATGAAGACGCGCCGCTCAAGGCCATTGATTTTGGACTCTCTGTTTTCATTGAGCAAGGTAAGTATTCAGTAATTACTCAAATTTGTGAAAATTTTGTTTGGAGATTACATAAATTTGTGTGTTTATTTCCATACAATTGTTTGCTTAATTAAAGACGAAGATAATTGTCTAGAAGATATTAGAGTTTATAATCCACTCTAACTTACAAAGAAGAAAATTCAAACGTGCATACACAATAATCTCTGCCATTATGGGTTAGAGAGACTTAAGTCAATGAAGATGGGGACAAGTCAACCAAGTCAACAAATTTAGTGATAAATAAAATAAAATAAACACGACTAGATAATAAGTGGTGCATCACATTGTGACTAGATTAAGCATTAAGAAATGTGGCGCAATACGTGCAGCATGTGGGTCCTATGTTGTGCAAGAAATCGACATGCTGCATATGATGAACGTATACAAGAGTGAACAAAAATTTACAATCTACCCATCATTTTGGAAGCAGTTGAATTGATGAATAACATGCATAATTTTTATTTATTGAATTTTTGTTACTGTAGAATTTCAATTAATTTTCATGATCTACACGGAGGAATGACTTGTCAGCAATTCTCCAGGGAAAGTGTACAGGGACATAGTTGGGAGTGCCTACTATGTGGCCCCAGAAGTGTTACAGCGGAGTTATGGGAAGGAGATTGATATCTGGAGTGCCGGAATCATGTTATATATTCTTCTGGCTGGAGTGCCTCCCTTTTGGGCTGGTAGGTAACTTGCATTGCACGCTACTATTTTTACTGTGTCAAAAACTTTAAACCAGAGCAAGAAGAACAATTTGTGTTTCTTTCTAAATTTGGTTTCGACGTTTTGATGTGTGTGTGTGCAAATTCTGTTTTTAGAGACCGAGAAGGGGATATTGGATGCAATTTTAGAAGGCAAACTCGACTTACAAAGCGCACCTTGGCCTTCAATATCTGATGAGGCAAAGGATCTCATCAGGAAAATGTTAACCATGGACCCTAGGAGGAGACTTACAGCTTCGCAAGTTCTTGGTAAATGTTAACAGAAAACCTACTCAACAACTCAACTCCTTTATTTTAATTGTTCCCCTTGAGTAAATTTTTGCCGAAATAATGTGCATTTTAACCAGAACATCCATGGATGAGAAAAGAAGCATCGGACAAACCTATTGACAGTGCTGTTCTCATTAGAATGAAGCAGTTCAGAGCAATGAACAAGCTCAAGAAGCTTGCTCTGAAGGTATGTATGATTCGTTACACCTCCATTTTAATTGTTCAAATCATATGCGCAAGGCTAGACAAGTTTGAAAACAACCGTCCGTCCAGCCTTGCGTGTATCAATATTTGTTCCTTCAAATTTGTATTTTTTACGTTATTATTCATCTCCTGTTTGTGTAAGCAACTGGAATTTGGATTGGTTAAAGGTAATAGCAGAAAACCTTTCGGAAGAAGAAATCCACGGCCTGAAGGAAATGTTCAACAACATAGACACGGATGGAAGCGGTAGCATCACACTTGAGGAACTTAAAACTGGATTGGCGAGGCTGGGATCCAAGCTCACTGAAACTGAAATAAAACAGCTGATGGATGCTGTCAGTACTCGAAAAATCGTTTCTTTGTGCTCGAATTTCCCTAAACATTAATAATATCTGGTTACATTAATTTGTTCTTCTTTTCTCGTTAGGCCGACATTGACAAGAACGGTACTATAGATTACACTGAATTTATAACTGCTACCATGCATCGCCATAAGCTGGAGAAGGAAGAAAATTTGTACAAGGCTTTCCTGTTCTTCGACAAGGATCAGAGCGGGTTAGTTTAATCAATTTAATTAATCCAAAGTTTTTGATAAGTAAGTTATACTTGAATCCTCACCGACTGGTTTAAGCTGATCAGGTATATCACAAGAGATGAGCTAAGACAAGCAATGACTGAATATGGGATGGGGGACGACGCTACTATTGAAGAAATCCTCGATGATGTGGACACGGATAAAGTAACATCTATACACACACGCATATGATATATATACACAAATATGTATATATATGTGTGTGCGTGTGTGCGTGTATATGCATACATGTTGTGTGTTGTGTTTCTCCAGATGACTGAATACTACTGGTTTAATTTTTGTGTAGGATGGAAGAATCAATTACGAGGAGTTTGAGGCGATGATGAGAAAGGGAGTTCAAGATGCTGATGAGAAACAAAGATAACTGGTTGACAGCTTTCTTACAAGAATCCATGAAGATCAAATAATGAACAACTCCCAAAGCTCAAAGCTCTGCCTCTGAAAAGTAAACCAATGTCCATAAATAACCTCAAGCTGTTATACATCATGTGTACTGCATGAACAAATTAATAATAATAATCCAAATATACAAATTACAACTGTTGAGTATAAATTTGTTCGGCTAAATTGGCTTCGAAGCTTTCCATATTATGAAATTTGAAAGTTAAGTTGAAGGACACTCTAAGATGAACTAAATTGTCGTTTATACATGTTTATTGTATATTTAGTGTTTCTTAGTGCTATTTTTAATTAAAAATTTGTAACCGATACCATTACATGTTTCCGAAGCTTTGTCAATGAGACTACAACATTTTTAACTTTTACAACATACACCCAAAAGTTTGGGGTCTCACTTTCAAAAAAACGACAGTCTTTTTTTTTTCTTTTTCAAATTACTATCTTCGAAGTTGTTTTATAACTATTTTTTTCAAAAAATGAAAGTAGTTAACAAACAATATTTCAATTTTCAGTTTAAAAAAAAAAATGAAAAAAAAATTGAAAACGAAATTAATGAAGAACAAAAAAGAAAAACTGAAACCAAAATGGTTATAGAATAGAAGGCAATAAGACTAGTAATGCCAAAAAACTTATTTGAAATGTTAGGTAGTAATGTGATTAAAAAAAATGAAACATTGTGTCTGTTTTGTGACAGCGGGCTCGAACCTCAGGGGTAGTTATGCAATTAGCTCGTACGTTTAAGATTAGGATCATACGACATGTCGCTCAACGTCGGACATAATATGATCTGGTATTCTGGTTGACACTTTTGGAGGGAACCGGTTGCAGAGGAAACCATGACAAGGCAACCTCTGAATCTGCTGCTGGAAAGTCTGCCCCAAACCATCCTCCAATTTCTGAACCCCTTCACTGCTTCTCTTTCGCAGGCGCGTCAAGCCCACGCCCAAATACTCAAGACTGGCCTCTCCAACGACACCAATGTCACCACCAAGCTCCTCTCTGTCTACGCCAACAACCTCTGCTTTCTCGAAGCAAACCTCGTCCTCGATTCGATTCCGAACCCCAACCTGTTCTCCTTCTCCACCCTAATCCACGCCTTTTCGAAGCTCAATCAGTTCAGCCACGCACTATGTTTGTTTTCTCAAATGTTGTCCCGAGGCCTCGCGCCGGACGGTTTTCTCTTCCCCAGCGTCGTCAAGGCCTGCGCTGGCCCGCCAGCGGCTCCGAGAGCCGGCCGTCAGGTTCACGGCATTGCGTGTGTATCTGGGTTTTCTTTCGATTCGTTTGTGCAGTCCTCTTTGGTGCACATGTATATCAAATGTGACCGGATAAAGGATGCACGCAAGGTTTTCGATAGAGTGCCTCAACGGGATGTGGTTATTTTCAGCGCCTTGATTTCAGGGTATTCTCGGCATGGTTGCGTGGATGAGGCTGTGGGACTCTTGTATGAGATGAGGGGGATGGGTTTAGAGCCCAATGTAGTCTTGTGGAATGGGATGATTGCGGGTTTTAATCAGAGCGGGTTATATGCCGATACTGTGTCTGTTTTAAAGAAGATGCATTCGGAAGGTTTTCGACCTGACGGGTCTAGTATTTCTAGTTCTCTTCCTGCTGTCGGACAGTTGGAGGATTTGGGCATGGGGTTTCAGATTCATTGCTATGTGATCAAGCAGGGACTCGTGTCGGACAAATGTGTCGTCAGCGCGCTTATTGATGTGTATGGGAAGTGTGCCTGCGCATTTGAGATGTCACGGTTTTATGATGAAATGGATCAAACGGATGTTGGTGCTTGCAATGCTTTAGTCACGGGGCTTTCACGAAATGGTCTTGTTGACAACGCACTGGAGATGTTCCAACAATTTAAGGGCCAAGTGGAACTGAACATTGTGTCTTGGACCTCGATAATTGCTAGTTGTTCCCAGAATGGAAAGGATATGGAGGCTTTGGAGCTATTCAGAGAGATGCAGATTGAGGGTGTGAAACCAAACTATGTGACAATCCCTTGCTTGCTTCCAGCTTGCGGTAACATTGCAGCCTTGATGCATGGGAAGGCAACTCACTGTTTCGCTCTGAGGAGGGGGATCTCTAACGATGTGTTTGTGGGTAGTGCATTGATTGACATGTACGCGAAATGTGGAAAAATCCACTTGTCTCGGCTTTGTTTTGATAAATTGCACACCAGAAATTTGGTCTGCTGGAATGCAGTTATGAGTGGATATGCAATGCATGGAATGGCTAAGAAAACGATGGAGATATTTGATATGATGCAGAGGAGTGGTCAGAAGCCAGATTTTATCAGCTTTACCTGTATACTCTCTGCATGCAGCCAGAAAGGTTTGACGGAACAAGGATGGAATTATTTTAAAAGTATGTCAAAGGAGCATGGTATAGAAGCCAGAGTGGAGCATTATGCTTGCATGGTGACACTTCTTGGACGGGCTGGAAAACTTGAAGAGGCTTATTCCATGATCAAGAAAATGCCCTTCGAACCAGATGCTTGTGTTTGGGGAGCTTTACTAAGTTCTTGTAGAGTTCACAGTAATGTGACTTTAGGTGAGTCTGTTGCAAAGAAGCTCTTCAATATGGAACCGAAAAATCCTGGTAACTACATTCTTCTGTCAAATATTTATGCTTCCAAAGGCATGTGGACGGAAGTCGATAGAGTGAGGGATACAATGAAGAGTCTTGGTTTGAGGAAGAACCCTGGCTGCAGTTGGATTGAACTGGAGAACAAAGTGCACATGCTTCTTGCAGGAGACACGGGGCATCCGCAAATGAACCAAATTATTGATAAGTTGGATCAGTTGAGCTCGGAGATGAAGAAATCGGGTTACTTCCCCAATACCCACTTTGTATTGCAAGATGTGGAGGAACAAGACAAGGAGCACATTCTGTGCGGACACAGTGAAAAGTTGGCGGTGGCGCTAGGACTTCTGAACACTCCTCCAGGGTCCCCCCTCAGGGTGATTAAGAACCTCAGGATATGTGGTGATTGCCATGCTGTTATAAAATTCATATCTAGCTGTGAAGGAAGAGAGATTTTGGTCAGAGATACAAATCGGTTTCATCATTTTAAAGACGGAGTTTGTTCTTGTGGGGATTATTGGTGAACTATCACTATCAGCACGTCTTACTAGGGGCTTACTCTTCAAAAGGATGAAGTTACTTCAAGCTACTAAGTCCGTCAGGTAAAGGAAATGAACTTAGCTTACATTCTGTTTTTTCATCATGCACTGCAAAGAAAGAAGTAACCCGACGCATAATTGTTCCATTTGCAGGTCCCCCCCCCTCCTTCCGTGTCAGTGCTCAACAAAACCGAGCTATTTCTACTTGTCACCGTAAAATACTACATGGATGGAAGGGTTGGGAAATCCTGCCAGCGTGTACATGGTGGAACCAGGACTCGAAGACAGCGCAATTCAAGGATGAATCTCATTTTGAGGTACTCATGATCTTGCACCTTATTTATACGAATGTGTTTTTATTGCCCTCTTTACAAGAATGACTGCGTCTCTTGAATAAATTCGACAGGAAGGAGTCTTAAATAAATTCGGTGTCTATCGCATGTTGTAAATAAACTCGACAATAAGGCACTCTGTATTCTGCTGTATAGTTGGTTCTGTATTCAATTCATTGTTCCTGCTGCAATTTTTGTTGTAAATTTCGCTCAATAAAAGGACTCATTGTTAACTTAACTACAAATCGAACATGCCGTCAAGGCATATAAACTAGGATTGACGCACTATGAATCTGGTTATTAAAAATAAATAATGAATAAGAATGATCCTCGTACCAGCCTACCAGTACAGCAGAACAAGAAAACTGAAGAATTTAAGTGCTAACAGTACAAAAGTAGGTAAGAATTGAGAAAATGTGAGCATATAGAAATAATGAGAACATTGTAAAGGTTAAAAAGAATTCGTAATTACATAAATTCCGCCCGGTAAAAATTTGTTGTTTTGGTACAACACACACTGTTCTCTCAAGGTATAACTTGCTGAAAGACATGCCCTAAATCCCTAAACTGAGTACTGGTTAGACCAGCAGATCAAGTGAACGGCGGTTCAGACCATACCATACGCACTGTTAGTGATTGTAAATCTCCTAACTTCCATAGACGACCTGCACGGCTTAACATAAAACGACTTAGACTTTGTACTCTTGAAGATGCATCCACTTTGTACACGACCACTTGTTACCCCTTATCACAGGGCATGCACCTGCAACAACATATAACATGAATAACAATCCCAAGAAAAACAGAGAGCGGAGAGTGCAAAATAGCATACCGTGCAAACTTGACGGGTCTAGAGTAGCATCAGGCCTCATGCTCCAGAATAGTAATGCATCACCCATTTTAGGTTTCAGTGCAAGTCCCTGTTTACCACATTCTGATAATTCATTCCACCATGGCACAGAGCTGATACTCCCCTTTGCAGTAGGAAACACTGTCTCACCGCCTTCTTCAACATCCGACCTAAATCAATGGCAAGAAATGGCAAATGGGAAAGAGAACATTGACAAAGAAAAAAACCGCATACAATAAGACACGAGACAGATACATCAAAAGAGAAAAACCATTATGGGAAGAGAAAAGCCATCTTACAGATACATCAAAAGAGTTGCAACCCGTTGTCCGCCATTCTTGGTGTTGAACTCATCTGCGAAGTAATCAAAATGCGCATCGTATTTCTGCCCAACTTCATAGTGGAGAACCTGAAGTCCTTCCCCATGCTCTGTCAGAATGAAAATCAGCAGAATTAGTGTGTACCTGAACTGAGGAAAATAAAAATCTGGATCGGAAGAAACGCAAAGGTGTAGTGTAATGTAGGTAACTATGTCTAGCAGTCACGTACCTACAGGTATGAAGGTGAAGTCTGCTATTCTCTTCTCGATATCCCTAATTATTTTATCGCGTCCTCTCCTCAGAAACATTCCGGAGCTTGTGCGCACGCTGCAGAAAAGGATTTCGAGGGTATCACACTACTATATTTGTTTTATACATGTAGGGAGGTGATCGAAATGCTTAGAAGCATACCTACTGTCTTTGCTTTTCCCAGTCTCGCTATCAACAACAGTTGACTTTACCATATGAGGTTTAGCGAGATTAATTAAGTAGTCACATTCATCCTTGGACTGTCCAAAATCATATCTAAGATTAACATTCTCGAACAATAACGAACACCAACAGAAACACCACCGATTTCGAATAAAACAGAAAATTAAGATCAAGCCAAACAGATAAATTAATTAAAACGAGGAAAACTAACCAAGAAATTGTGATATATGAAGGCTCTGGGCTCCCAAGAAATCACTTCCGTCCACTGCTCTCCTCTATTCCCCAATCCATCACTTCTGAAAAATATGATTACATTTATTTTTACTTAAATCCAGAAAGAAAAAAAAATATTAAAAGGAAAGCGAATTCATCACGACCGTGGACTTACGAGCGAAATGCGTACCTCTCGACGATCTTCCGCCTAAAGGAGCTGAGATCGTTAGGTGAAGAGCCGTCGGTGCTAACCGGAAGCGACACGATTCCAAAAGCGAGCATGAGAAGCACCACCGACAGCACGAACAGCATCGACAAGACGAGCGTGAACGGAGACCATTTCTTGCTCTGCAACCTACCGTACCTCCCCTTGGCCATTGTTGAACGGGCTCCGAAATCCTAGAGCTCTGATGCGGAATTCTCACGCAAAAGCGAGCGCTGAGTGCTTAAATTCTGAGTTCTCTGAGAAAGGCGAATTCTGAGTTGTTTTGAAATGCGTCGTAATTTATAGGTCGGAAGGTTAACAATAAACTATTCGATGTGACGAAATTACCCTGGTGTTTATATTTGGGGCGGGGTTAATGACTGGGGTATTTTAGCGATTTGCAGATTGCGGTTTTATTTTCCCGCTTTTGCAGTGCTGTGGGCTGCACACTGGTTGTGACTCAGGATTATTTTCTTATTTTCTGCTTCCGGGTTTTGAATAATAAAATCTGATTACATTCTTTTTCTTGCGGTCTAATTAATTAATTTTCTTTATTCAGCTTCTACAAAGAAACAACGTCCTACAAAAACCATCAAATTTACTGATTCCTCTGGGTCAAATGTGAAATTGAGTATTTTCGTCCAACGGCAGCAGAAACTCAAAAATCGAACCGTTTAAACTGCTTAATCTTGATCCCCTCCTCGCTCCTTCTGAATCTGCTGCCGCTGCTTCTCGGCGAGCTTATCTATCGCCGACTGCACCGCATCATGCCCGCCGATGAGCAATCGAGAGTCCAGCCACAGCACGCCTCCAGAGTCCACCCACATGAAGAATCGAGTCGCCCTAATTATGTCTCGGTACAGACTCAGCGCCTCCCTCCGAGTGCTGGTGGGTCGCCGCCGATTCCTGCAACTCCTCCTCCTCATCGTCGCGGTGTTTCTCTTTCTTCACTACGTGTCTGTCCAGAAGCTCCTCCACGGTGTCCGGGCCCTCGTGCAATAGACGCCGGCCACAATTGAAAACTATGTCGTTTCGCGTTATGAGCTTCAGAGGAATTCGACATTTTTGTACATTCGCCGTCATCCTTTCCGGGCAATTGGGGGCGTACAGAAGATTGGCGCAAGTAGAATACGGAGAGGAATATAAAAAAAATATTCTTAAAAACTTTTTCTTTCAGTGAGGTGGGCTTGAAAACATTTACCCAAATGTGTGTAGAGGATAAAAAATTAAGAAACTGTTTGGACCCGATTTTACATTACCGGCCCAAGTAATTGAGGCCGTTGGATGAGCGGATTCTAGACTATTGAATTTTAATATTTTTCTAGGTATTAATACTGAATTTGGGCGATCTCCAAGAAATCAAGAGTTTAAAACGGAAGAGTCCAGCTTGAGATTGAGATTGGTATCATGCATGTACGTGAAGGATTGGAAGACTATCTCCCATGCATTTATGCAAATATAATGGAGATAAAGATGGGATTAGATTATCATTAGCCAATAAAGGTGCTTGGATAAAGGTGCTGTTTATTTTGAACTCAGGCACGGGAAAATATGGGATAAAAGATGGCATATGCCATTTTATCTAATGTGATCTTACCTGATGACTCGGTAATTATTGATTGGGATAAAGATGGCTGTGGCTTATCATCAGAGATGGTGGGATGTCCACGACTTTAATTCTCCAGCACGGCTAAGAGTTTTGATGCTATAAATATGAGAGCGCAAGCAACATCAGAGATCTCCAATTCAACACACAAAACTGCCTTGCGCAAACCCTCTCAACAACTTTGAGATTTTTTTTATTTTCTTCTCTTTTCGCCTTCGCTGCATCTTCCGTGCATCAACAGCACTGTCGCGAGCGATGACCGAAGGCCAATCTCGTCGAAAGGATTTCTGAATCCTTATTGGTCGGTCATCTCATCAGCCTTCTCGGCGAAGTGAGGTGTTACTAGTTACTACATTCGGCACATTGGAAGCCGAATTGGATATTGAACTTCGTAAGAATAGCAGCCTTGTCTTCAGGTTCGAGAACCCAAGGGCCGAGACGTGTTCCTTCCTCGGCCGCAATCGCAAGACGCAGAAGTCAGCCGCGCACCTAACGCAACATCAACAAATTTACTCCTCGGCCGAGCTCGGCCGACGAGTTGGCACGCCCCGCATTCACCGAAGGACGTAGTTAGCTTCTAGATTACTCGGCATGCGCGCCACGTAGGCTTTGTAGTTTCTAGGGTCAACAGAAACAAACGAAAAGTTAAAAAAAAATAGTTTTAATAAAAAATGACAGAAAAATGTATAGTGAATAGTATCAAGGAAAGATAAAAATGTGGTTTTTCGTTAAAAATGAACAGTATCGGAAGTGTTTCGTTAAAACTCCCGAAAATTTTGATTAAAACTGAGGAAATGAGAATTAATTACCAATATGGTTAAAAGAAGAGAAATATTTTCATTAATGTATTTCCTGATTTACCAAATAATATAGCTGTATTTTCCGTCTCGGTACAAGGGAAATTGGACATACTGATTTTCCAAGCCCTTGATTGGCTCTGCACATTATTTTTTCACCCTAAAATGGTGTCAATTACAAATTAATTCTCAATGTTCCATTCATCTTAAACAATCTAATTTCTAGTCCGTGATTGCTTGCTAAAACATATCAAACTACTCTACTCGATGGGAATAAGGATTTGAATTCGAATGTAAAAAACCAACACATTGCGGTAATCACCCGGTCACACAACAAATATTTTATTTTCTGGCTTACCAGCAGTTGAATCCTTATCAAATTGTGATTATAATTCTTAACGTTCCCTAGCTATTTTACAATCCTTTCCCAAAGGAAATTAGGAAGGCCAGCTATAGTACACGCTGTGCAATTAATTTGTGTCAAAATTGAAATTCAAATTAGCATACTAGTTAGGATTCAAGTGTGACTAAACTAACGCACACAAATCATAGCAGAGGTATACTTATTGCACCACTATAAATTGAAGCAATTTTACAGCCATTCTATTACTGCCTACTTCCTTGGATTTGAACCTTTTCAGAGTGTCGTAAATGGATCCTGCTGACGGGTCCCCGAGCTTGTTGGCACTGAAGGAATTGATTCCGTTAAAGCCTTGGAAGACACCGCCCCCTCCCTTTTCACAGAGTCGATGCGGGAATTACATGAAGGTAAAAGATGGATCAAGAGTGTATTGGACGTCCAAGACGGCGCTGCACAGGGAAGCAAATGATGATATTATAGACGTTGAGATTCCATATGAAGGATTGTTTGAGTTCATTGACAAGTTTGTCGTTAGGAAGGTTAGGGTTTGGATTGACCGGTTATTTGGGGAGATATTATGCTTACCAAAGTATGATGCATACCACGGTAAATGACTCTTATGAATGTTTTTGTTTGTTTAGGTTTGTGCATAGTACTCTAATCCCTCATTAGATGTAAATTATGCCATGCTAATTGTCTGACCTTAGTTTTTCAATTTTGTTTTGCCTCTTAATTAGTGGTTATGAAAAAGAAGACACGTTTGTTGTTAACGTTGATGAGAAAAAGGAGTTGTTGTATAAATAAAAAGGAAAACTAATGAAAATGACTTGAAAACTTTGAGTTTTAACGACAAAATAAAGGGTAAAGTGAATAGTACCATGATTTACTTTTTAATGTAAAAATATGTTTTTTCGTTAAAGTGAACAGTATCGGGAACTTTTCGTTAAAGTTCTCATAAGAGCAGTTCCACCCCTAAACAAATGCGCCAGCACACAGCCTATTTAATTCACTCAATGAACAGTGATAGACCTAATAGATCAAATGCATCTCCACCCCTAACAAAAAATAGCATGATCAATTTTATTAAAATATTATTAAAAAAAGAAGAAGGTAAGTCTGGAACCTGCCTGCATTTCTCTCTCCCTCTCCCTCCCCATTCGGATTTGGAGGAGCTCTGCACCAAGATCTCTCTGTGACGCGTTGATTGTGCGAGAGGTTGATGGCTTGGTTGACGTCATATGGCCCAGCATGTGGGTCTGTCGATTTTAGGCCGGTCTATTGCCTGGCTTAGGCTGGGTGCCGATCAAAATGCTGGGCTAGAGTGGATAGCTTGGGTGCCGATCTGGTTTTTTAGCTAAGTGTTGGCCTATCAGTTCCCCGGTGGAACTGCTCTAATAAAAATCTGTGTTCTTCATTGGATTTGTATTTTCTGTAGGTGATTGGTGACGACATTGTCCCTATACAACTAGCACATGAAGCACAGAAATCTGCACTGACCCAGAGAAACAAAGACTCAGGCCCATATTATGCCGGGTAACCCAGGCCCATATTGTATAACATTTTGCTTGTGGGAGCGTGTGCCACTACAATCAAACGACGTCGCCTTTGGCCTGAGCTTCGCGCTTCAGCCTCTGCAGTCTGCCCCCCTCTCTTCTTTCCGCCGCTCCTTCCTCTCGTCTTCTTAGGAAGCTCAGCTATGGCGTTAACCAAATCAACCCTCCATTTCCGCCGCTTTCTCTCTCCCACTCCGCCGCGAATTCTCAAACCCTACTCTTTCTCTTTAGCTTCAGAAGCACCTCTTCAAGAGAACGACACCCCAGACAACGATTCCCAACCTGCCCCTGCTCCTGCCCCCTACCTATCCGCCGACGAAACCCTAATTGCCGACAAATTCCACTCTCTAATCAAAGATCACCACCGCAATAACCCCAACCCCAACCCCAACCCCACTCCCCCGAACCCCACCTTCACAATCCCTGCTCTGTCGCAAGACTTCTCCCAAATCTCCGCCGTCCATTCATTATCTCCTTCCGTCGTCCGCCGTGTTATCGAAAAGTGTGGCGGCGTCCGCCACGGCATCCCTCTGGTCCAGGCAGTTGCTTTTTTCAACTGGGCCACTGCCCGCGACGGGTTCGAGCAGAAATCGGAGCCATACAACGAGATGGTCGACCTCGCTGGAAAGGTGAGGCAGTTCGATTTGGCTTGGCACGTGATCGACCTGATGAAAGCACGGAATGTTGAAATTACGGTCGAGACCTTCTCGATTCTTGTCAGGCGGTACGTGAGGGCCGGATTGGCTGCGGAGGCGGTGCACGCGTTTAATCGTATGGAGGAGTACGGTTGCGAGCCTGATAGGATGGCATTCTCGGTAGTGATTGGGATTCTGTGCAAGAAGAGAAGGGCCAGTGAAGCGCAGTCGTTTTTCGATAGCTTGAAGCATAAATTTGAAGTTGATGTTGTTCTGTACACTAGCTTGGTTAATGGCTGGTGTCGTGCTGGTAATATCTCGGAGGCTGAGCGGGTGTTTCGTGACATGAAGGCAGCTGGGATCATGCCGAATGTGTATACTTACAGCATTGTGATCGATGGTTTGTGTAGGTGCGGCCAAATTACGCGCGCCCATGATGTTTTCGCGGAGATGATTGATGCCGGTTGCCAGCCAAATTCAATAACTTTCAATAATCTGATGAGGGTTCATGTGAAAGCTGGCCGGACTGAGAAGGTGTTGCAGGTTTATAATCAGATGAAGAGGCTGGGATGCAATGCGGATGCCATTACTTATAATTTTCTTATAGAGTGTCATTGTAAGGACGAGAATCTTGAAGATGCAGTTAAGGTGCTCGATCTGATGGTTAAGAAAGGCTGCACCCCGAATGCATCGAGTTTCAATCCCATATTTCGGTGCATTGCGACGTTGAAGGATGTGAATGGTGCTCACAGAATGTATGCTAAGATGAAGGAGTTGAAGTGCGAGTTGAACACGGTGACCTACAATATATTAATGCAGATGTTTGCTGAATCTAAATCTACTCATATGGTGCTGAAGCTGAAGAGGGAAATGGATGAGAATGAAGTCGAGCCGAACGTGAACACGTACAAGGTCTTGATCTCCATGTACTGTGGAATGGGGCATTGGAACAATGCCTACAGGTATTGCAGGGAGATGATTGAGGAGAAATGCTTGAAACCGAGTATGCCGGTTTATGAGATGGTTCTAGAACAGTTGAGGAAGGCAGGGCAGTTGAAGAAGCATGAGGAGTTGGTGGAGAAGATGGTCGATAGGGGCTTCGTTACACGGCCGTTGGCTGTGTAGTCTGTAGAAGTAGCTTATTAGCTGCATTGCTCGCATTAGATTAGTCGTCGGATTACCTGTTTTCGTTATGGATTTATGATGTAGCGTTTTATGTTTGAGAGTTGGGATCACAATTTTGACAATTTCTTACAGAAAACTGTTACGCATCTGAGCTTCCTGTAACCTTTTTGTTTATTGTAATCTTACATGAAAGTTGTTATATGCTAATCAAGAAAGGCAAATCATTTCAAAATAAACATCATATGTTAACAAATGCAGCATGAGTCACCTGTTCGTGTTGGAAAAGTACAAGGGGAATGTTGACATTCAAAAACTCAACAAATTAAGGAATACAACTAGTGACCTTGCATGTCAAGCATCTCGTCGAGACGTTTCAATCTCTCCAAACCTTCACTTAACATAAAACGAGTCCGTTGCCTGTCACTGCAGTGCCGGTTGTTCTCCAGTTCCTGTCGAATCATCGATCTTAGTTCACCTGTAAGCACATCAACAGAAACATAAACCCAAGATGAACACTACTAATGGATGTAATGGGCAAGGAACAAGGTGTCATTTGATTTAGAAATATGGTAATTATGGCGTAAATTTGAGTGAAAGATTGTTGGTGAGTAAAATTTGACCTCTGGAATCAACGGGGGCTCTTCGGGTAATCCTAAGTGCTTGCCTATAAAGCTTCAAGACTCGACCGCGGAGAAGGAAGTCCTGCAAATCAAGGGCTTTAGCCATAACCCCAACACCCACTCCTTCCCCCAAAAATACCTACAACGCAAAAACAACAACTAAATTCTCAGCTGGTTCATCTTTTTTTTATCAAATTATCATATCTTTATTTTCTTTTTTATTTACTTTGCCTGGCTATGAATTTCAGATCAGAGACCGGAGCCTCATTTCCGCAGTTTCCAATTGATCGATGTTGCCATTTACAGATACAGCTAGGATTTCATAAATGGAGGCAACAAACATGAGAATTTACTTTAATTTAAAGAAGAAAAATAAACAGCAATATCTGCAGACCTTTGAGGTAAAGAGATGGGGCAGGAGCAGTGGCGGGAGCTCGACGGTATGAGGAGTTGGAGGTCGCCCTGTGCTGCTAGCCACGCCGTTTTCTTCTTTAATTTGTGGATTTGCCAATGTTATCGGGCCTTCAATTGGTCTTAATTTGTAGATGAGCCCAACTTTTGTTACCCAAAGAAGCTGGGCTTCTCTTACAGCATTTTACAAACTCCCAACAAATGTCTACTTTAAACCGTATAATAATTAGGATGCACGCAGCATGTCGTCGTCAATTCGTCATCTTAAAAGTTGATGGATGTCGGAAATGAATGTCTTCCGGTGACGAGTCTCCCTCCGCCTTCATGCTGGCGTAATTAGACGATGCAATAAATGTTGCCGCATGCCAGCAGCTGTGATGTAGACCAAGCGTTACATGTTTGACCATGTTAATGGAAAGTCAAACTAGTGCAACCCAACGCTAGTAATTAAGCTCAAGCTCCTATGAACGAAGACCAAATACGTCAACATATTGTAACTTATACTAATCATATTTCAGTAGGATGGAGGCTGGGCCACTTCAATATTGTTTCAAAAGCAGACCAATTACAGCTAATTGTATTTTAACTTACTAATTAATTATTATCATTAGGCCCATTAACACGTGATCTTTTGCTACATTTCACTCTAGGGAGAACTATAATGTTCACACACTCACTCAAGGGGTGTGCACACTGCACACTACTCATCATCACTCACAACAAATTAAATAATTGACAATTAAAAAAATCAGAAACTAGCGGCTGTATACTATTAACAATTGTTATTGGCAAAGAAAGAATGAATAATATTGTTACAATTATCAAATGAACTCTTAATTACTTCACTTACAAGCTCATCGGTTATGTATGTAAACAATTTATTGCGTCCTCCATTTCTAGTAAAGTTAAAATAAGCTAATTGTGTGAATCTAAATAAAAGTTACTAAAAGTTCTTAGTATTCATCTTCACTTATAAGTGAGAAGTCTCAGGTTCGATTTTCTTCAAATGCGAATTTGAACCACATTATTGTTAACCCATTGTGAGACCCCTATAGATAATATCGTTTGTTAAAAAAAAAATTACTAGAAAATGCTATAATTCTATTTATCCTTCGTTATATACTGCTCTTATTTTATTTTATTAACATATGGATTATGTATGTTGTGCACGGGTTAAACAAGAAAAACAAAATATTCATTTAGATTTATATATATTAAGTTTTTTTCTCCCTAATGATTCTGTTTAGGTTAATTAAGTTGATAAAAATTAAGCAAGCACGTAGTATCATCCTAAAATTTAGTCAACTATGTACACGTTTTATCAAACTTATCTTATATTTCCCAATTTGAAAAGGAAAAAAATCTTATATTTTCCCAATTGCAAATTTGTCATGATTATCCTTGAAATCCGCGTTCAATGATTAGATGAAGGTTTAACAGAGCCCCCGGAAAGGGTAGACAAGTCAATTCCTACGCATTGCTTAGTTATTAAATTCGATTTTAGCCCGTGGATTAGAAAAAAACGTTGAATCGAAATTAAATCTCGTGCAGAAAAAACCGGAAAGCTGCATCAAACGCAAGCTGTATTATTTAATTCAATCGAGCAAATATGGTTTGCTAGGTCACACACTCACACACACCTCCCTTGTTTGACCGACCTCTCTTTTCTTGATATATATATATATATATGTGTGTGTGTGTGTAGTTTTACAGATATATATAAGTAGTGTTGCTGGATAAGCGATTCAACACAATTTCATTATCCTCCTCAACTTCCAAGCGTGCGACAAGATTAGGGTTTTCTTTTACAACAATGGATCATCAGAAACAAGGTAAACCAAAAAACAAGATCTTGAAGTTTCTACCAAAAGCTGCTTCCGGTATTTATTTTCACAACCCTCCTTACAGCCCTACCGGAGACGCCGCCGCCAAGCTTAAAGCTCACGGGCGGCGAGGGTTTTCCGGCCCTTTAATGATTCCAGATCAAGTCCGAAGGAAACAGAAGAGCGGAAGCTTTGACGGCCAGACACGAGAAGAAGAGCCGACATCGCCGAAGGTATCGTGCATGGGACAGATCAAGCACAAGAAACACACTAACAAGATAAATAGCGTTAATTTGATCCCTAAAGATCGTCAAAAATCAAAGCCTCCTTCTGGCCCGTGGTCGCCACGGGAGATCAAGAAGCACGGTTTTCCGTTCCGGAGGATGTTTAGCAACATAAACCCTGGAAGAAAATCTGAATCTGATGCTAGTGATCTTGATCGTGATCGGACGGCTCCGAATCTTCCGGATAGGGCGCCTTCGTTGAGTCAGATGAAGAGATTTTCAAGCGGACGTGGCCAATATTTCGAAAACTTGGATTGGGAATCTCCTCATGATATTATGAATGATCATCGCGATTATTCAGATGAAGAGAGAGAAGAGAGAGAAGATGTGAGAATCGCATTCTCGGCACCTCTAGGGATTGGAGGAATAAATCAATTACATCAAGTGCCTTTGCAGCCAAGGAAAGAAATCAATCTATGGAAGAGAAGAACAATGGCTCCTCCTAGTCCTCTAGAATTGAAACCCATGGTCAGAGCAAATTAATTAAATTAAATTGTTCGTAATTGTTGCGGTTTATCATATACATTATTTCTTTTTTAGACTAGTGTTGCCCTCCTCTTTTTAATTAGATTTGTTCCCAAATATGTAAATTAGGGTGAAAGAATTTGTGAAGAAGTTTGAATTGTTCCCTGCTTTGATGGGTAATTATGTTAATACAGACACATGTATGAGACAAAAGTTGGGATCCACAAGGTCTTTTTTATCACATGGTTTAGTTTTCTTGTGCTCAACTACGCTTTTGGTTACGTTACTTAATACAGACACATGTATGAGACAAAAGTTCGGATCCACAAGGTCTTTTTGGTCACATGGAAGAGAAGAACAATGTGCGGGACGTTTTTTTTTCTTCATCCGAGTTGAAATATCTAGCAAGATTTTTATCGAGACCAATAAACCATCATATCCTCAATTTATACGTGTTTCTCATCTTTAATGAATATCGTACTTTTTCTATATAAAAAAATTAAAAAATAAATAACTTTTGATGATGTTTAATTTGCTTATTTGGAAGTGGTGCAAGATGTTTAATTTATTCTTCTTTTTTCTAATTGATGGAAATTGACCATTAATTATATAAAAATAATTAGGTCAAATTTGGGTAATACATATCAGTGAGGTAGCTGCCACAACTGAATAAGGTTAACTAATAGATTGGTGGTTTCCCTGTCAATTCCAAATTATTGTAAGATTAATTGGGGATGCTACAATCTGTCTTTAGCCGGAGCCACTGGATTTTTGGATGACTCGACGATCCCGGCCCCTTTTGGGGATGAAGTTCATAATTGAGATTAATTATTGTAATAAAATAATGCCATCACACTGTTTACTTACACCTAACAGCTTTTTGGAACGACTCTATGCTGATTTCACATATGATTTCATGCAAAAGATTCACATTTGGACCGCAGCTTGACAATTTTATAGAGCTATTTCTAGTATGACATGTCTCACGCCCTATGAAATGAGATTGAGGTCATATGTCAAAATAACTATTTACTGTAGTTTATTTATTTTCTTTTTATGAAATGTGCTTTATTAATTACGTAATCTGATACCTCTATTTGGGTTTCATCCAAAACACTCCGACACAAAATCTTATTGACTAGAGTGAAAATTTTCTCCTTTTTATTTGGGAAATTGTCATTGTTGTAAATATTTTCTCGCAAATGGTAGAATTGGGGCTTGAACTTGGTAATAGGGTGGAGCTATTCACATACCTATTTTTACTTCTCACACTTTTCTTAATTTTCGACCGTTGGTTCGAATGGATTGAAGAAAATTAATGGACAAAAACTAATAAAAATGTATGGGAAGTAAAACATGATGTGCGAATAGCACTACCCCTAGTAATATTGATACTTGAAAGAAGGGCTAGAATGCATTTAACCAAGATTTGCAACTTTATAACACCGATTACAGTTTCAATTCTCAAAAATAAGGTGACAAGTAAAGATCAATTGGTGCCCTCCATGTTTGGATACTGTGAGATTCGGTGACCCTTGCAATCAGTACTATACTCCATAGCATACCTGCATATCCATTATTTTTCTCAATAATAATACACAGTTGCCACTTAGTACTCCGGTCTAGTGATATTCCTCTTCACTTGTAAGTGAGAGATCTTAGATTCGATTCTCGCGCGCCTATCTCCTTTAGTGTAGATAATATTGTTTGTTCTGGATCCAATCCTTGTAAACAACTAGGCAACTTCTTCCGAATCTATGACATGCCGAGTCACACAACCGGGTGGATATTGCTGAATAAGTTTCGGCTTTTGGCCCAATGATTTTTCTGGCAATGAACAAACTGTTGCAAACCTTAATCCGTAGTGATAGTATGTATTTTTTTGTTGTTCCTTTTTTATAAGACCTTTATCTATAGTCCTAAGTTCCTATCTCCTTAATTAACAAGTACATAATTTCTCTCTACTGGAAGGCCGAAACACGTACATGTAGGTCATCTCTCATACAAAGCATGAGAAATTTTTTTTATTCTGGTATCTGACTTTATGTGAGCGTTGCTCATATAAGACAATCATATAAAAGTTTATCTCATTCAAGAGTATTATATACTAGGTTCATAATTAAGGTTAAAGCTAAATACTCTTTTCTTGGGCTAAAACATATTAACCTTAATAAAAAAAAACCCATTTCATTCAAAAATTAGTTCAAATCTGAAGACTAATTCAACTTCATTAAAAAATAAAGTACAAATTTTGTAAAATTAAATTTACATTTTTCTAATTTGTTGATAATTATCCTAATAAGTCACACGGACTCCTTGGTATCTTAGAATTTCACCAATAAGCTCACCTTTCCCAGAACCCACATACCTTCCACAAATCTCGCCGTCTCTAATGAACAAGAAAGTAGGTACCTCCACCACCTCCATGTCCTTGAGGAACAGCAGGCAGCTGTCGTTCTCATCGCCGTTCATCCTCGCAAACACCACCGTGTCCGACATTCTTTTCGACAGCTTCACCACCGTCGGATATACCTTGACACAGGGCCCACAGTGCTTGAGCCCCACGTCAAGCACAATCAGCTTGGTGTCCGCCTTATGCTCCTCGATCAGCTTCTCCACGTCCTCCCTCTGA